TTCAACAAAATTCAACTTATGATTGATTCTCTCATTCTACTAATGTTTAATAAAAAATTATGTTCAAGGATGTTTAAACAAGGCTTGAATAGTTTTGAATAAGGTTCAAACTAGTTTGAACAAGGTTTAAGCTTAGTTAACAATAAGATAGAGAAGTCCAACTTTAAGATCATTCTTCACAATGACCAAAGACTACCACCTCCTACATAATATCAATGATAAATTATTCATAGTTATATTTAAACTAACAACATTGAGAATCTATATAGATAAAAAATTTAAGAATTCATTTAAAATGCCTATCTTGCAACATAAAAAATTAATGACACAGCTACAAAATTTATGAATAAGTTAGCACATAGCTACATTTAAATTGTTCATTTAGAAGTCCACATAAATTTATATATAGCAATATTAAATATTTTAAAATAAATTAAGGATCTAAGTTAATAAAGAACAAGTACACGCAATTGTTATCTATGAAGAGTTACATGCAATCATTTATAGTTTCAAGGAAATTTATCATTGAAATTATATATATATATATATATAATGTATTATTTCACATACACTCCATAGTACCCCATTATAAATAATTTAATTTAAAAACTTATTTTTATATGAGTTAAAAAAATAAAATACTGAGATAACTTTGATTCGTAGTCTCAAGGTTTTTCCCTAACTATTTCTTTTGACACTTCTTTTATGTTAGCTCTCATACATTTTCAGGGTAATGAGAAGATACCATTAATGTGTGTAAACAACAATGTCACTTCCAACAATGCATGGAAACACTTGTGAAGGGGGTTCATTGTTTGGACTATTGACTGGTGCAATATCCTAAATAAAAATTAAAAATATGTTCAAGTACATCTTATGATTAAAAAGAATTTCATCAATAATCAATCAAAGGCATAGCATCCAAACATCTTCTCTAACTTTTCACTGCATGAAGGATTTTTTAAGACCTATAATTTTGAAGTTCTTATTACCATCCAAGTCCTTCTCAATCAACCTCGTGCTTGTAGTGTTTTTATTAAATTTCTCTTCAAAGAAGCATTATGAAAAATTTTAAAATTTGAGTTATTACCTCCAATGTTAAATACAATGTTATTATTTTCACATTTAACCTCCCTTAAAGAATTTGGTTGATTTGGGCCCCATAGATTAACATATCTTGATGAATGATGACATTATTTAAAGAATATTCTAATCCCTTTCAAGGAGAAGCATTTAGTGAGAAATTCATGATCTAAATCGTATCTTTTCATAGATGCATTCTCCCTTGGTTAATGAACTCTCTTTGTGATGATAGAGAACTTTTTATTATACATATTCATTAGGTTTTAAATGTATATAACATAATAACATTGATTTAGGTTTAGAGTTGAGAAAATTAATAATCATTTTCTTGGACTGGATGGTGGAATGATGTAGAATGTGATTAAGAGCCCAGGTTCTATCATTTTAGATTATCATGGAAAGTAGTTTACTTAGTCAATGGAAGTAGTTGACCTACGTTGACCTAAAAATCCTCATTGATAATCATTGTTTGCTTAATCTAAGAAGACAATATATACCTAGAGTGAATTCTAGCTAAAAGGATAAATTTACCCTAACAAATGTATATTATGACTCCTAGCTGAATGTGCTAAAGCCATTGGGGAACAATCAAGTTATTGACATAAAAATAATATAATGGTTTTGCTTTTTATATGAAACCACCCAATTAGATTAAATTAATCATAATTATATTTACTAACATACCATAGTGGATCAATTAATATGTCTATATATGTATCCTAATATGTAAATGACTATGATATTCTTGTTTGGTATAATAGATTTAGGGAATGATGTATTAAGTCACTCTGATCTCGAGATTCATGCACTTTTTAGCATGGGTGAAATCTTTTACCATCGTTGGTTATTAGTGCCCCATTCTTTTAACTTTGATCACCATTTGAGGGCCTTAATTATGTGCATTATAAATTCATTCATAAATTCCAACTACATCCTTGTTAGCTTTTCATTCCCTAAGTACCATAAGCATATTTTATTAAAGGATTCATAATAAATACTATTATTGAGAAAAGCACAGCGTAGGATATTATTCTTGATTTATGAGAGTTTCAAGTAATTCATTAGTAATTTATGTCCTTTTAAGCAATCGATAAAATTTTATCTCTAATCATCTAGCCATCTTCCAAGACAGATTCATTTTGTAATCTTGGATTCTCCTCAATCTTGTGTTCTTCTTTGGTCTTTAAAGGCTCCTCTTATTGATTTTAAAAAATTCTCTACAAAGACTTAACATTAATGAAAGTTGTATCTTGCTGGTCTAAGTTTGATGACCTTTCTTCCTAAAGAGGTTATAGATTTTCTATCTCTACAACATCATAGTCTTCTCCAAACACATGCTTGAGGAAAGTAATGAGGTCCGTTTCTAGAGAGAGAGACTATGACTTTTTCTAGAGAGAGAAAACTTCAAAAATTTGAATTTTTAATTCCCGGTTTTCATTCCTTACGTTAAGAAATTGACAGGGAGATGGCGGTGGATGGCCGCCAGCCATCTTTGGCTTCGGCGGCAAGGAGCGTTATGGATAAAGGCTCATTGAATCAAAATATGGGTGAAGATAATGGCCTGAAAGCTGGTTCTAATCTGAATAAAGCGGATCTTGTTAATATATATTCTAATGGTCCATTGCTGATCAAAGATAACACCATGGAGATCCCTAAGAAGGTTTTATATGTTGAGGGTAAAGAAAAGGCTATTGCTGAAGATGATGGTACTATAACCCCATGGGTAGCTAAGAAGTCTTCAAAAAAGAATTCATTTGATACGTCGGCATCATCATTCAAAATGAAAATCTCTATTAATATGTATGGTAAATCAAATGCAATCTCTGGACATGTCCGTGGGATAGTTGCAAATTACCATAATACTGTTAATACAAATCTTCATTTCATTGATGGTTCAGAAGAAGAGGGGACTGGTGTCGTGGATAAGGTTAATGAGGTAATGCCAACTAGAAATGTTGTTGAGATGGAGGGAAACCCGTGGAAGAAGAAGCCTTACATCATGTTGGATTTCAAGGATGAGGATATGGTTTTCTCGAAAGATGGTAAAGCTGTGAAAATGAGAGAATATGTTGAGATTTTGAATTCCAATAAGCTAAGAAATTCCTTAGTGATTAAGGTGTTTAGAAAGGAAATTCCTTCGCATATTGTAGCATGGGAACTAAGAAGGCAATGGAAACAATTTGGGAACTTTCACTTTACAACTATTGGCAAGGGTTGGTTTTTATGTTCCTTAGATTCGACAGAGATGATGGAAGGTGTTCTTTCAGGGGGGCCCTTGGTTTGTCAATGGCCATGTTATGGGAATAGAGAAGTGGACGGTGGAGTTTTATACTCTATCCTTGAAGGGTCTAACTTCACCTATTTGGATTAGAATGCCACACTTACATTTTCAATGTTGGGATGAAGTTAATGTGGCTAGAATTGCTTCATCGGTTGGCAAACCTTTGATGATGGATGGAAACATGTTTCAGTGGGGGAAAAGAGAATTTGCCAGAGTTTGTGTGAGAGTTAAGCTGGATCAACATTTTCCTTTAGGAGTTTGAGTGGAGAGTATATCCGGGAGATTTTTTCAGAGGTTTGAGTACGAAAAAATCTCTACATTTTGTTAAGAGTGTGGATTGATAGGACATATGAAATCTAATTGCAAAGTAATGAAAAATGGAGCAATGGAGAGGATTCATGATGATGGGGAGTCAAGGAAAGAAAAGAAGGTGGAAAAGGTTCAAGAAGTGGATACTGATTCCTCTTATGGACCAGGGATCTTGGTTAAAAGAAGGATTAACAGAAGACCTATTTTGTAGAAGGAAAATCTGAAGGTTGTTAAAAAATAGTGGAAGAAGACCAAGGAAGCTCATGGGGAGAATGTTGGAAAGGAAACTATTGTTCAAAATTTTGATACTATTAAAAAATTTGTTTCATTTGCTGAAGGTAATCAACTGGAGGAGGGGGAATTAGTAGTGGAACAGGAGGTGATTATTCATGGGTTGCAATCTGATGTTATTAGAGATGCATCTTTGAAGAATAATGTTATTGTAGAGACTGTAGTGTTGACTGATGGTATATTTACTTGCAATGGTAAACCTTTTATTCATGTAATGTGAACAAGTTTGACATTTTGAATGGGGAGGAAGATGATAGAGTAGGAGCTGAAGTTAATAATACAAGATCTATTGATTATGATAATAATTACAGTGGAAAAGTGCCTCATGGAGATGAAAATTTTGAGAGAGGTGGAGGAATTAAAGGCAGTGAGGGGAGATTGTGTGGTGTGGAGAAGGATAAGGAGATTGGCTCAAATGGGGAATTGATTAAATGTAAGCTTGCAAAAGAGCTTAGGGCCTTAGGTTCTATTAAGAACAATTCCCGTGGCAGATTTTTTGATGGAGTAAATAAGAAAAAGGATGGGGGCTCTTCCCCCAAAGGTTTTTAATGGAATCTATAGCCTTCTAGAATTGTAGAGGAGCCAAGAAGAGAGAGAACTCTCTTTATTTGAAAAAAATTATAAAACACTATAAGGTTTTTTTTTGTGGGGTTGGTTGAAGCTAAGATCTCCTCTCTTGATAGAGGTTCTTTTAAAAGAACGATGGGTCATGGTTGGGATTTCTTCCTGCTACCCTCAGAAGGGTTCTGGTGGGATTATGGTTTTATGGAGATCAAATATGACATCCTTTTCAATGGTAAAGACATCAGATCAATGTGTTATAGGTGATCTTATTGTCTTCAATAAAGGTGTGTGGATGATTTCTACAGTTTATGCTAGCAAGGAGGCTCATAAGAGAAGAAGTCTATGGGATTATGTTCAGGAATATTCTTAGAGGAAAATTTTGTCTATTGTTGGATGGGATTTCAATTGTATTTTGGCTCAGGAAGAAAAGAATGGAGGCAGAAGATTTGTTTTCTAACAAGGCTCCTTGGATATGGTGAAGTTTATGAATGACAATGACTATCTTGAAGTTGGGTTTATTGGTCCAAGATACACTTGGTGCAATAACAAGGTTGGAGGGGGACGAATTCTGGAAAGATTGGATAGGTGCATTCTCAACTCATTGGCCATTAACAAAATTCAAATTGCCGTGGTAAGACATTTAGCCAGAGTGGCTTCAGATCGTAGTCCAATTGTGTTAAAGATTTATGATTCAGTTTCAAAAGGAAGAAGATGTATTAAGTTTGAAGATGCTTGGTTATCTTATAAGGCAGCAGCCCATATTGTCTCTAATAGGTGGAAGAAGCCTTTTTTGGGGGATGACATTGTAGTGCTTAATAAAAAATGCATAAGAACTTTGAAGGACTTGTTCTACTGGAGCAAGGCAAGATTGAAAGATTTCTCTAATGAGAAAGATAGATTGAAGGCTAAAATTGTTCAAATCCAAGAGGAAGAAACAACAGATAGTTGGTTGAATGAAGACAAATTATGGATGCTTAAAGCTAAAGTTAAAGAGCTTAATGTCATCCTTAATTGTTTGAATACATGGTGGAAGCAAAGAGCCAAAGTTAAGTGGATTGAAGATGGTGACTCAAATACCAAGATCTTTCATTCCTTCGCCAATGCTAGGAGAAATGTCAACTAGATTTATCAAGTAAAGGATTTAGATGGGGTTTTGACTGAGGAACTGAAGGAGGTGGAGGAGGTGTTTTTCAAATTTTTTCAGAATAAGTGGAAGAACAAGTATTGTTGTTTAGAGGAGTGGCCAAAATTGTGGATGGTTTTAGAAGGGGATGACAAACTTCTGCTAGATAGGGAGCTTTATGGGTTCGAGATAGAGGAAGTTGTTATGAAGTTGGGCAAAAATAAGGCTCTAGGTAGTGATGGGATAACTTACTCTTTTTTAAAAGTCGTTTGGAGCATCATAAGGGAGGATGTGTTCAGAGCAGTGAAGCAGTTTTTTTCTACAGGCAGTATGTGCAATGAATGGAAGGATACTTTGGTAGTGTTGATTCCCAAGACTTTGAACCCGATTTTTCCAGCTTCTTACCGTCCAATTAGTCTTTGAAATTCAATCTATAAAATTATGGCTAAGGATTTGCTGAATAGAATGTTGGGAATCATTCCTAAAATTATTTCTGAAGAACAGGCAGCTTTTGTGAAGGTGAGATCGATCTCAGACAATCTTCTATTGGCTCAGGAGGTATTTAACAAATTAAGGCATTCTAAAGCAAATAATGGGTTTTTAGCCATCAAAGTGGATATGGAGCAAGCATACGATAGTATGTGTTCGGAAACTCTGAAGAAGATGATGGTAGATTTGGGATTGCCATTCAAATTTGTTAACATGGTATTGGAATGTATCTTGGATCTCAGATATTCTATCTTGATTAAATGCTATAATTCTAATTGGATTAAGGGGAAGAGTGGCTTTCGACAAGGATGCCCACTATCTCCATTCCTATTTATCTTATGTTTACAACTGTTATCCAACGCTTTCCATAGAAAAGGATCAAATGTGGGTGTTAGAATTTCTTCTTAATCACAAAAGATTTCACATCTTCTATTTGTAGATGATGTCTTGATTTTTGTGGAAGCTAAAGTGGGAAGTATGAAGAAGGTTAAAGACATTGTGGAGGGACATTGTAAGTGGACCGGACAGAAAATCAATTGTCATAAATCTTCCTTAATTTGTGGTAATTCGGTGGAAAGGAGGAGGAAAGTGCATATTTCCATATTTATGGGAGTGAAACTAGTGGAAGAATTTGAGTACTTGGGAATTAAGATGGCCTTGAGGAGATTAAAAAAGTTGGATTTTCAAATCTTATTGGATAAATCTAGTATAAAGCTGAATGCTTGGGGGAATAGGTATATCTCCCTTACAGGTAGACTGGTTATGGTAAAAATTGTTTATCTTTCTCTACCTTTCTTTATCATGTCACACTCTCTCATTCCTATGAAGACTTTGATGGAGTTTGAGAGGCTTTGTAGATATTTTATATGGAACAAATGTGATGGCAAACATGGGAATCATTATGTGGCATGGGAGCAGCTACGTAAACCAAAGCAATATGCAGGATGGGGTGTTCAGTCTGCAGTGAACAGGAGAGATACACTGAGAGCAAATTTTGCATGGAAACTTTTGGAGAATCCGGATTCATTTCTGAACAGGAATCTTCTGGCTAAATATGGAGTCAATTTGTGGGATAGTGCTATGTCCAGAGGTGATTTTTCCTCTTGGAAGATAATTTCTAGTGGGTGGAATGCTCTCAAAAATTTTGTAAGGTGGAAGATTGGGAATGGATCCAAGATCAATGTGTTGAAGGATATCTGGATTTTGGATAAGAATTTACTCAAATGGCCAACATTTGTAGGATCTTTTGATGATGATAACATTACTCTTGACTTCTTCATTCATGAGGGAAATTGGGACTGTGCAAAACTGAGTTTGTACTTTGGTGCATAATTGCTAAAATTGATTTACAAGGTTTAGATCTTTCAAGATTTACATGAAGGCTGCATGGAGCTAAAATACAAGATGTCCGGGAAATCTATCTCAGCTTTATTAGTGGAGGATGGCTGCAAAGATATGAAGGATGAAGTTCAGGTTTCATGGATATATAAGCTGAAATTGAATGAAATGGTGAAGGTTTTTATATGGCATTTATTTATGGATGCTATTCCCACATAAGCTTTTATCTATAGGAGAAGATTATCTGATTCTCTCTTATGTCCATTGGGTCGTGGTGTAGTTGAAGATGTTAACCTTGTTCCTTTAAATGTTTTAAGATACAAAAGGTGATGGATGTTCTTAGAAACTGGGAGTTCCAATTACCTGAATTTAATGATTGGAAGGATTGTTTGTTTGGTCTAATGAGACTAAAGGATGCTAATTTGATGGTGGTTAGGATATATTTTACAGTATTATGGTTTGTTTGGAATAATAGAAACAGGGTGAAGCATGAAAAATCTGAGGAAAGCAATGTGATGATTGCAGTTTCTGTGTTCAGTTTTATTAGCTCAGGTAAACAATCTTTAATCCAATTGGATCACTGGGTTGCCAATCAGTCTATTGGACTGTTCTCTGATAAATGACAACCTCCTCCACTCGAATGGGTTAAGATAAACCTCGATGCTTCACTTAAAGACAATTATGAAGCAGGCATTGGTGGCATTGTGAGGGATAACAAAAGAAGATTTATTTTAGCATTTGGTATGGGTAAAGTGCATTGGGACATTGCTCATTTCGAGTTTTTAGCTTTTTCAGCCCTCAAAGAGGTGTTATAAGGGAGGTTTCAAGATGTAAAAGGCATTATTATGGAAGGTGATAATAAGAATGTTCTCAATCTTCTTCAAAACCTATACAGCAAACTGAAGAAGATAGGATGGAGCACGAAAAGTGACGACTTATCATTTTTTAGAAATTTCAATAATGTTATCTTTCTTTGTGTTAGTCGCAATTGTAATAAATTAACGGACTACTATGCTAACTTAGCTTTATCGTATGATTTTCTTTGGGACTTGTTTTGTGAGAGCAACCTTACTTCTTCCTTTATTCATTTAGTAAAGGAAGAATGTGAAAAATTGGGTTACTCTCATTAGCTTGTAACGAGGTTCTTTCTTTTATTTTATGCAAATTTGCATTATTCAAAAAAAAAAAAAACATTTAAGTGTGGATCCCAGCTAATATAGGCTCATCATTTATACTTAGTATATTCTTTGGAAAACATGGTCATATAATCTAGTTCATTATTTTGAGCTTGAGAAACTTGAGTTATGGCAATAGAGTGGAATCATTGCATGAGCTCAAGGGCTTGCATGTCATGAAAGGCTAACTCAAGCTTGTTAATTTTGTATGTGCCCAAAACTTTATTTGTGAAAAACTAAAAAACTATATATATATATATATATATATATATATTTGGGGGAAAAACCCACAGAGTGGCCTACACGTTAATATAGGAAAACATTACAGAGTCCTCAAAGGGACCTCGTGTCCTCTAATGCTCAAAAGAGCCACAAAAAAAAAAAACCTATGAGCACAAGTCCCTACTAAAGAAAAGTACAGTAAAACCTAGATGCATCCTGCGGTGCATAAGAGGGAGCTCCCAAAAAGAAGGAAGATAATAAAAATAGAATTGGAATAACAACTTTCCATTAAAAATCCCATATGCACAAATACCTGCAATGGTAATATCCAACAAAACCAAGTGATACCCACCACAACAATTGAATAAGGAGCAGTAATAACTAGCAATAAGAAAAATCACAAGACAATGGTTAGCACAGATTACAATATGAAAGAATCAAGCATAAAAAAAACTTGGTAAGACAATACCAACAATATGAGAGGTGAGAAGGCCAAAAGTAAGAGGCCACCCAAGGAATATCGAAACTCACAATCATGAAAAGGCTCCAGGTTCCACATGATGAAAGGATAGAGCTGTAAATAATATAAATACCGAGGCCCACAACAGCAATATACATAATTTCTCAAAGATATCCAAGGAAAAAATAGTCCAAATCACCAAAGCAATAAGGCCAATAGTGATAAAAACACCAAGGAACAGCACATGGCTCATAGAAATCCAAGCTAATATAATGATAACAGGGCAGATTAGGCCTAACCACCACCATCGACATAGAACGAGAAACCAAATGAGAGAAAAGAACAATGAAAAAGAAAAAAAATAATACCAAAATAGAAAGTCAAAAAGGAAATAACTCGGGATACACCATAAAAGGATCCCCAAGTAGCAGAAACTAACAAGCAAAAACTGATAGGAAGGCATACCAACCCAAAGAAATAAAGCAAAATGAAGATGCTAGGAAGAATCCCATAGCCACCAGTGAGGAGCATCACCCCTAAAACTAGGACTTAACATAAGATAAAACAATTTGATCCAATCTTATGAGGCCTTTAACCAAAAATGGTAGATTAGAAAATAAAAGCTTAGTCATAGCATTAAAACCACAACCTCTACTAGGAATCAACTGAACACAAGCATTCCCCTCCTCCATAATGATAGATAAAGGGCAGTTTAAAGTACTCAATAAATTCCTAATGTTCCTCCAAATATAAAACAAAATAGAAAAACAAATAATAACCTCCTTAGCATTAAGAAAATGGAAGTCAAAATAAGAACCAACCTCCACCACAATATTCATGTAATTAAGATCGGAACAAAGACTTATATAATGAAGCACAGTATAGTTATTAACAAAATTATCATCACCATTGGCAGTAGGACTAGCAAAACCCAACATATAGTTCCCATTATAATCTCTGATCACACCACCAATGCCAACGATAGATTCTATTCTCACACTAGCCACATTCAACTTAATAGAGTTAGGATAAGGCTTCATCCAAGAAAGACACCTACGATCCTTATTAAAAATATCCACCTCCAATTTAATGCCAAAAGTAGCCACCATAAGGAAATAGTTCTTGAAATTCTTGGTAGAGAGTAAGTTAGCATAATAAAGAACAACAACTTTATCCTTAATATTATGGATTATTCTATGGTAATTCATAACCGCCCCATTAAAATGAGAATTATTCCTCTCCAATCATAAGAACCAAAGGATAAGGGAAGGAATCAAAATTCTGACATGGCATTTAAAATTAACAAACCAACATTCAAGTATAGAATTAATGGAACCCATCACATTAAAATAGTTGAAATAAAAAATGCCTTCAAAATAAGTCCAAACTATAACAGCTAAGCGGCCAGAAATGAAAACATAACGCATATTATATACATTGTAACATCATTGGCATTTTGAAGGAAAGATAAAACCTCTTTTCCTCAAATTCACATCCGCAGAAATAAGCTTATGTAAAATTCTCCAAGTAAAAATAAAAAACGTAGAAGGAATACTCTTATTCCATATTATATGAAAAAGCTTGGAAGTTTCATGTTTAGCTCTAAAGGAATGCCAGGCATCTTTAACTCTAAAAGAACCATCTTTAGCCAAAGCACAAATTAACACATCCTTCAAATTAATGTTCAGATGGATTTATAAAATATCCAAAATAATGAAATCAGGAAGAACACTAAAAAGTTTCTACAAATCCCAATCATTATTAGCAAATAAGTAATTAACCTTCAAAGTAGCATTGAAAATAGAATTAGTTAAAGAGTCAATCGACTGGCCACTCAACCAACAATCTTGTTAAAAATAAATATTACCATTACTAACACCCCATACAATAGAAAGCTCGACAGCCCATTTAATAGAGCAAAGACACTGTCAAATTTTAGAATGGCCTTTACTAAAGAAACACATGGAGAGATGACTCCCACCATAATACTTAGCCACCATAAAATTTGCCCATAGACTCACATTGGACCAAAGACTATACCATAACTTGAAAGAAAATGCATAGGCCAATCCAAAAATGACTTACACCCTAATGCCCCTTCATGCAAAGTCCCACAACAATTTTTCTCAGGATGGCCAGTGAATTTTAGAACTGCTCCCAGTACATTTCCAAAAAAATTTACTAAAAATTCTATCTATCCTATTGCATACAGTCTTAGTAGGAAGAAGAGTTTGAAAACTATAAATTGGGATAGAATAAAGAATACTCTTGATAAGAATGAGCTGACCACCAAAACTTCAAAAAATTAGAATCCCACGAAGAAAGTCTGTTATGCGCCATAGAAATTAAATCATCAAAGAGGAAGGACTTTTTTCTTCCCTTATATAGAGGCATACCCAAATACTTCAAAGGAAAGAAACCCTGTGTAAAACTAATTAGATTCTTGATAGCCACAACACAATCAGAAGGAACTTTCTTAGAAGTAATAAAATAATACTTTTGCTTGTTAAAAGCCAAACCACTAAACAATTCAAAATGGTTAAAGAAACACATAAGTCTATTAATCTTATTCATCGAGGCATTCGTAAACACAAAGAAATCATCAGTAAAACAAAAATGCAAAATGTTAATGCGACCTGAAGTTCTGAAGTAGGGGCTAGGATACTTATCAAAAAGATCAGCAAGACCTCTAGAAAGGAACTCAATAGCAATACTTGAAAGAGAAGGGGAGATGAGAACCCCTTGTCACAGCCCATGAGAAGCCTCAAAAAGATCATGGCTTTTACCATTCATATTGATAGAAAAATAAGGGCTTTGAATTCAAGACTTGGATGAGGTTGATGAAATCTAACTAAAAACAAAATAAATTCAAGATATTGTAAATAAAATTCTAATTATTATTTTCATAAGCTTTAGCAATATCCTATTTTAGATTCATATTACCACCTCTAACCTTGACTTCCAAGTCTTGACAAAATTCTTGTGCCACCAGGATATGGTCAGCAATAGCACGCCCTTCAAAAAAGCCCATTTGAGAAGGGAAAATAAGCTTAGATAATAAAACAGTTAACTAATTTATCAAAATTTTAGAAAGCAGTTTATAAAAGACTGTACACAAACTAATAGGTCTAAAGTCA